TACAGTTTGTAAAGCACTTCCAACAGTGGTAAAACATTGCACCACCATCACCTGTGTTCATATGATCATGATCTGGATACTTAGCATCCTGTTTGTACCATTTACAATCTTCTCTCCTGTCTTCCCAAGGAAAATGAAGCCAATGGAAAAGTCAGCAGGGAAGGTTGCAAGCTGCTGCTTCCTGCCAAGAGGACTTCCTCTAATCTCTGAGGCTGGCAAAAATAGCTCCCTCCTGAAGGGTATCAGCTCCATGCCTACTTGGATTTCAGGAAGCCAAGTAGGCCGCAGAAAGCTGAAATCCTTCAGGAAGCAGCTCTTTTGTTCTGGTTGAAAGAACTGCCTGACAAAGGATTTCAGCTCTGTGTCTGCTTAGGTTTTGGCAAGGAGGATATTGCGCTTCTGAGCAGAGAGGCAGCACAGTAAAGTAAGGAGTGCAAGGTGCCTTGGGGTGGGGAGCTTTGGCACAGACCCCACACAGGACTCTCTTTGTTCAGGAACTAAACATCCTGCTTGGATTTCAGCAGGACTTTCAGCTCCTGAGCAGGGACAGATTCACATATGGCCTGCATCAGGCTTTCCAAGTTCTCCCCCATCTATTCTGAGGCACCCTGCACTCTTTACATAAGGCTCCTTCTGCTTAACAACCTGGAGATTGCTTAACAACTGCAACTGGGAGTGCTGAAGTTATGGTTGTTGAGTGAAGCAGTCAAGGGATATCTCACTTAATTACTGCTTCATTAAATGACCAAATTGTGATCTGAACTGCCTTATTGAACATCTACCATTGGAAGAAACATATAGTAGACACATGTCAAGTAGGTAAGTGGAATAGTTCAGATTAAAAAAATTGTCAATAGAACCGATAGCAAAACAGTATTATTATGATTGGAATTATGTGTGGGACTATGAGAGACCACTTACACGTTTCTTCTTGAATTCATATGCTGTCTCCCAGTTTAGATGTTTGCAAATAAACTTTCCTTCCTCCTATTTTCCCCACAACAACAATCTTGTGAGGTGACTTTGGCTAAGAGTCAATGACTGGCCCAAAGTCACCCAGCTGGCTTTCATAGCTAAGACAGGACTAGAACTCATGGTCTCACACTTTTCAGCCTAGTGCAGTGATGGCGAACTTTTTAGAGACCAAGTGCCCAAACTGCAACCCAAAAATCACTTATGTATCGTTGGGTGCTGGGTGGGCGTGGCCCATTGGGTGGGTGTGGCCCATTGGGTGGGCATGGCTGCAGTGGTAACGGCAGACTGGGTGGGACTAAAAAGTTCAATCAATCAATTCCAACTTTGCGAGATCTTTTTTTTTTCCCGCGGGAAGTTGAAATTGATTGATTGAATCTTTTTTTTTTTTTTTTGCACACGGCAGTGGAGGCCTAAAGCGAAAAGGTTTTATAAAACCCAGCTGAAGGCCTAGGACTGGGGTGACAGTGCGCGTGCCCACAGAAAGGGCTCTGCGTGCCACCTGTGGCACGCGTGCTATAGGTTTGCCACCACGGGCCTAGTGCTTTAACCACTAGACCAAACTGGCTAATATAAGTGAATTACATAACCTTTGCTTATAAGATACAGTCAGAATGCAACTGTATTTTCCATTTTTAAAAAATTATACTTAAGAGTCTTCATTTGAGGAAGGAAGGAAGGAAATATGTAAGTGATTTTCATGTATCTTTTCAACAGATAATTACATTCTTATTGTCCCTCTTTCCTCTTAAATTTTTGACAAATCATCTTTCTCCCTGGTTTAATTGACATGTTTCTTCAAATCCATAAATCATATTTTTTACTATTTCAGCAAGACGTCCATGTAAGATTTCCAGTCTTTCATAAAAGTTTTTGTTTGTTCTGTGATCAAACAGATCAGTTTCACTATTTCTGCACTATTTCAGTTTCACTATTAAGTTCTGACATTTTGATAAGCAATTGTGTTTTCCCATAATTAAAGTTGACTGATAATGTTGAAAAACTAAGTAGGATGAACTCTTCAATTTAAGCTGGGTCAGAGAACAGGTACCATAATAACCTTGTGTACTTTTTTCAAGGTTATTTGCTTATTCCTCTATATTCAGAGACTTTAGTCAGATCTTTAAAGCATCCATGCGTTTTCCCAGGTTCATATGACTGCTGTACGGCTGCTTGAAAGAGCAGCAGACAGGGCTTATTCATGCTCCAGTGTCTTCCAAAGCACCTTTGTAATGAATCTCAGTACTATATAGGCTTAGTATCTTATTTATGTGAAAAAAGAACCTAAGAAAAATTATAAGATGAATGTTTGAATCAAGATATTTATATTTCATAAAATATGACCGAATGTGGCAATTCCACTGTAAACCCTAATAATGAAGAACTGCAAGATATCAAGCAATCTTCACAAATTCAGGAATATTTGCTAGGGTGTAATGGTATGTGGGAAGGACCTTGGGAGACTGGCAAAAAGATGCTGCTTAAGTAACAGTTGGATAAGGTAGCCTAGCCAACAGCTGCATAGTGGATGAAGTGAGAGGTTCAGGAGGGACTCTTCCTAAATTATAAGGCTGTAAAGGTGACAGTAGGAGAATTGTATTTTCAGACTTGCAAGATTCTGTTAATGCAGTTTTACAATAAAGTAAAAGTAGTTTACATGACCATGTTTCCTACCTGGTTTACCTTGTAAGGCTGACATAGAGCTATGTGAAGTCTCAAAGGAATGTTTCACTTCAGTGAAGTTCAGAGCAAAGCACTTCAAAGTTGCTTTGTGAAGCAACCTGATTCTTCCATGATTATGTGATTGTTCTTTCCTTGGAGCTCCTCTCAGACTTCTTTTGAAGAACTTGGGAGAAGGTGGAGAGGAACCTTTTTCTATAGCATTAGCTGATCTGATTTCAGGCTTTGGTGAATGCCATGAGATTGCCCACAGTTTGAGTCAAAGACGGCCACCTGAAACCTTCTCTGGACTACTAGCTGAAGGTTTTCTGGGTTGGGTTGCTCCGACAATGTGCCATGGATAATCCTAAAACCATGTAGTCCAAGAGGTTAGAGCTGCAGTAGAAGGCTAAGAGGAGTCTTCTCCTACACCCTAAATGTTTGATTGAAGTGAGTTATGTCTCCTGCATGGGAGAATCATTTCTTCAAAACCAATCAGTGCCATTTCCTACAGGACTTATTTTGTAGAAAGGTGTTCCTTTAAACAATTCTAGTGTTCATTTAGAATCAAATTGCACATTTAACTGCTCTTTATTGCTTTAAAATGGCAGCATTAATTGTCTGCAATAATTATGACTAAACCACTTCAATGGGTTATGCGTGCCATATCTCATTGCAAGCATTATGTGGTCGGTCCTGGTTGTAGAATCATTAATTAATTAAATAATCTCATCTGCTTGTAAAAGCTGTAATGAAATCAGATTGGACCCTCCAAAAGTATTTTTTTTATAATTAGCAAAATTGTTTTAATAACACTTTATACTTGGGTTTCATCCTCAGTAAATCCTACATTTTTTTGGGAGTAGTGCTTTATTATTTGGACTACCAAACAACATACAGATAAATTAGCCCATACAACCGATCTACTAACAGAAGTTTACTGCTGAAGTTCAGTTCTCTGTTTTCATGCCAAGATTTTGTCTATTCAACCCAGTAATACTTGCAGATAAGTATGTTTCAATGGAGCATAATGTATTAGGATTAAGTGCCTGGAAATTAATGTAAAATTTTAAGATGGAATGCCCTAAAGCACAACTGCGTATAAATTATTATAACTATAATGCCTTTAGATGCCTTTATTTTTTATTACTAGAAAATGAATTTGTTCTAGTTACTAGCACTACTAATCATAATGCTTCTATTAATATTTATAACTGTTCTTTTCCCTAATAGACTGAATAATTAGAAATATTTGGAACATATACTTTTTATTGCAAATAGCAGAGATTGGTACCTTCTGTCTTAATTCAATTTCTTCAACTGAAAGCATATGTGTGTGTGTGTGTGTGTGTGTGTGTGTGTTCCTGATTATCTTAAAAACTCGAATCCCAGGTGTATTCATATTAAAACTATAACAAACTCACTGAACTCCAGGATAAATAAAAACAAACTGTTTAATACTTAGCTTTCATCAGCCCTCTGCTGACATCATCAGAGTAAAAGCCGGTGGTTGGAAGACCTGCTTATATGGCCAGCTGTTTTAGCAATATGGTCATAGACCGTGTGACCGGTCTACCCGCCTCTTGCTCTCCCCCAGTCAGCTGTGTTGCTCCTAATTGTGCTGCACTCGTCTGCATCTGCTTGACTCTTGGCGTTTTCCCTCCCCCGCCTGCTCTGCTTGCCCATTCTGCTGCATGCAGTTGCTCAGAGTCATTGCTGGATCACCCCTTTTGCCGTCCTGTCTGGTAGCCTCAGTAAGTTGTCGCGTGGTCCCGTCTGAGGGTGCTTCCTCCATCATATGTCTTGTCCTGGTCACGCTGGCCCCTCGTCTCTCTCCCGATCCTGCAATGGGCTGTGCTGGTATCCCCATCCCTCCATTCATTGGGGTCTCATACCGCTCTATGAGTGGGCGTCCCCGATCTCTCCTGTCTCCACTCGCCCCAAATGTAAGTGACACTCTTTGCACTCTCCCGTTCTGCCACGTGCGGCTACTCAGAGTCATTACTGGATCGCCCCCTCTGCCATCTTGTCCGGTGGCCTTGATGAGTTGTTGCGTAGTCCCATCAGGAGGTGTTTCCTGCATTATGTGTCTTGTCCTGATCATGCTGGCCCATCGTCTCTCCCCTGATCCTGCAATGGGTGAGCGTCCTGGACCTCTCCTGTCTTCATCCGTCCTGTGTGTAGATGGTACTCTTTGAGCTTGCTCATTCTGCCATGTGCGACTACTCAGAATCATTGCTGGATCATCCCTTTTGCCGTCCCATTCGGTAGCCTTGGTAAGTTGTCATGTGGTCTTTCCTGGCGGTGTTTCCTCCATCATATGTCTCATCCTGATTGTACTGGCCCGTTGTCTCTCCCCTGATTCTGCAATGGACCATGTCAGTACCTCCATACCTCTATTCACTGGGGTTTCATGCCATTCTATAGGTGAGCATCTTGGACCTCCCCTGTCTTCATTTGTCCTGTATGTGGGTGGTACTCTTTGTGCTCGTGATTCCTGGCATTGTTGTTCATGCTTTCTCAGCGTTTGGTAGGCTGGTAATAGTTCTACATGTCGGTTAACTGAATGTTGGCCTGATAACCAGGCCTCTTTAAATAAATGGCCACCTTTCATAGAGTCCTGGGCGATGACCTCCACGCCCGCAAAATTGAAAATGTGGTTGCTGTCAGCCATATGTGCCCACATATGGGAATGCTGTTCATGCCATTCTGCAATCATCGGGGTGCTCCTCAGTTTTTGTCGCCTCTCTGGGGCGACTTTAGAACCATTTTAGGGTCAAAACCAGCTGGGGGGGTGCGGAGCTCCGCAATCCAGCAGCCGTGTCATTAGGATGCAAGACTGGAAGTCAATGCTGCTAGCATTCTGATGAGCTGCAAGTGTGAATACCCTTTGAACTTGGGATGCTGAGGAACAACAAATCTGGGTGTGGTCATGCCAACTGATGTTTCACTTTAGAATTCAGGCTCATCTCCCTCTGAGATTCTATGTTGATGTTAAACAATGCAGGGGTCCATGTTGAGTTGCTTGTAATATGTGAATATGATGGCTAAACAAAGAAAAATTGCTCTTAGTTAAAGAATAGTACAGAACAGAACAACAGAACAGAACAGAATAGAAAAACAGAGTTAGAAGGGACTTTGGAGGTCTTCTAGTCCAACTCCTTGCTCAGGCAGGAAATGCTATACCATTTCAGACAAATGGTTGTCCAGTCTGTTCTTAAAAATTTCCATTTACAACTTCTAGAGGTAAGTTGTTTCACTGATTAATTGTTCTGTCAGGAAATTTCTCCTTAGTTCTAGGTTGCTTCTCCCCTTGATTAGTTTCCAAGTTGCTTCTTGTCCTGCCTTCAAGTGCTTTGGAGAATAGCTTGACTCCCTCTTTTTTGTGGCAGCCCCTGAGATATTGGAATGCTGCTCTCATGTCCCCCCTCGTCCTTCTCTTCATTAAACTAGACATACCCAATTCCAGCAACCGTTCCTTATATGTTTTAGTCTCCAGTCCCCTAATCATCTTTGTTGCTCTTCATTGTTCATTGGCCTCGAAAAAAATAGCAGGTTGGATATTCCATGATTTTATTACATTTTGAATTTTCAGAAATAGCTTATTCTTGTAATTCCTTGGATTAAATAAAGATTCAAAAAGGATGCAAAACATCTAAAAAAATTTAAAGCAGAGTGCAGGGTAGTCTTTGACTTACAACCCTTCATTGAGCAACTTTTCAAAGTTACATCAGTATTGAAAAAAGTGACTTACAAATGCCCCTAACCTTTACAACCTTCCTACAACTCCATGGTCACATGATCAAAATTTGGGCATTTGGCAACCAACATATATTTACAAAGTTTGCAGCAGGGTCATGTGATCATCATTTACTACCTTCCCAGGGACTTCCGACAAGGTAAGTCAATGGTAGAAGACAGATTTGTTTAATAACCCCCACGATTCTCTTACAGCTTCAGTGGTTCACTTAAGAACCATGGCAAAAAAAATAATAATCATAAAATCGGGGACGAGTCACTTAAAAACCGCTTTGCTTAGCAACAGAAATTCTGGTTCCATTTGTGATTATAAGTCAAGGACTACCTGTTTTTTGATTTGGGAAAAAATCTTTAAGACATAATAAAGTTAATTAATGAGCCGTTGCACAGTGTCTTTTATTCTTAGAGTGATATAAATGAAATATGACCTTCTTTTATGAGGGCATATAACAGGTGACACTAGGGAGCCATGGCTGCATCATCCAATGGAATGCTTCTTTTTATGAAATAAATTGCAGCCATTAAATGCTGGCAATTTAATTGAACAATAGTCCATGCCACTTTCCTAATGAAGGCTCTATATTCCATTTCCCCCCCTCTTCTGGGATTTTCAACTGGTAGTGCAGCATGGACAGTTCTGACAGAAAAAATGACATGTAATAAAAGAACTGAGTAGCCCTTTCCTAACTCCTCTGTTCCAGTTGGCAGACTTTTCCCCTTCCAGCTTAATTTTATAATAAGAGGAAACGTCCCTGCGTAATACATTGCTTGACTTCCAGTTACAAGGATTATCTTCTGCCAATAGTTAATTCTTCTTTCTCATATAACTCTCATTTTGCTTTTCTGCAGAGTACACCCTGATCAACGAAAACTGTCCAGGTGCTGAATGGAATATCATGTGTCGGGAGTGCTGTGAATATGATCAGATCAAATGTGTGTGTCCTGGACAGAAAGAAGTAGTGGGATATACTATTCCTTGTTGTAGGAATGAGGACAATGAGTGTGACTCCTGCCTAATTCACCCAGGTAAGTTGATTTACTGTGCTGTTTTGATGCGTCCACCTGTATTCTTTTATTTGCTGTATCTGTTTAATTTACATGCAGTAAATATGCTTGTAGCTAGGTGGAGCATGCAGCCTGTTTTGCCTGCCAGATTTTGATGATTAATAGTTTTTCCTCCTTAGAGATGGATAGATGCCAATACAAATGCTCACTGTGATGAAAGTTAATGCATATTGTTGCCAGCTTTTTCCTTTCTCTCGTGATAGAAACTCACATTTCAGGATTTTACCATGGATGCTTGGAAGCTCTCCAAAAAGTAAAGTCACCTTTGGCTTCAGTACTACATGGAGATTATACTTCAGTCTCCAAGGTCTAGTTTGCACACTACCTTCTTTTTAAAAAGATAAGAATTATTATTGATCTCAAACTCAGCTGAGGAAAGCTTTTAAAATTGAAGTAAAGGATATGAAGAAGCAGTTTGTGAGACTGCAAAGAATATACATCGATTAGGATTCTGCCTGATTTGAAACTTATTAAGAGGATGTGCTTCAGGCCATATGGGATTGTCAGTGCAAGATCTCATTAAAACAGCCTTGTCCTCTTTTATATTTTCCAAATGAGCTTAAATAAGTTAAAGCTGCTGTAAGCTTTAATGCTGAGGCATTAAAACAGCTGCATCTTTAATGCGACATATTAGCTCGTATTGTTTCCAGCTCTTGCAGAAGCAACTGGCTTAAAGAAGTGCTACATTTTCATTTCTATGTGCTCCAAAGCACCACTTCTAAATAGTTTTTGAATGATATTCAGCCCTCCTTTTTATTATGTTGAATAACAAATTTATGTTGAAATTTGCAAATGACTATGAATAGTCATTTGCAAATGTGTAAAATATATTCTGAACTCATGTTCATAAATGTTTGGGCAGAAATTAGTACTGAATCCTATCTAACCTTTGGGCCATCATTGGGGCATTACTGAAAATAAAATTCTAGTTGAGGTTGATCTGACGATGTAAGGAAATATAGGATGTTCAGGAAGTAAATTTCCCTTAAACAAGAGGATTCTCAGGAAAAGGAGGGAGAGATCAATAGGAGAAAGTCTGGATGCTATAGCTATAGACATCTGTGAGTAATGGGAAGAGAGGCCAGGTGAAGAAACATACATTATGGCATCATAACACAAACCCCATGACTTTAGTATGTGCATCTTACGTTAGAGCAGGGCTTTTCAACCTTTTCACTCATTGTACCATTTTTAGGATATGGCAACATCCGAGTACCACTAGTCGCCTAGTAAGGTGTCAAAAACTTGATGACCCCCCCCCCAAAAAAGGAAAAAAGTGATAAAGTACAGGTAGTCCTCGACTTACAACAGTTCGCTTAGTGACTTTTGAAGTTACAATGGCACTGAAAAAAGTGCCCCCCCAAGCCACAGCCGAGCAAGACACCTGCCTGCCCACCTGGCAGCGCTTTTCCTCCTGTCCAAAGTTTTCATTGTTGTGAGCATTTCTGTTGAGGATTGGCAGCAGGGGTGGGGTGGGGTGGTGTTTGGTTTTTATTCCCTCTGCCTGCTGGGTGGTTGCAGCAGGTTTTGGTCACTTCACATGATCCTGGGACATTGTGACCATCATAAATATGAATCAGTTGCCAAGCATCTGAATGTAAATCACAAGACCCTGGAGATGCTGCAACATTCCAGCTGATCGGCGCTCCTTCTGGGCTCAGCAGAAGCACCAGGATCAGCGCCAAGCTCCAGCTGGAGCCTGGCACTGATCCTGGCACTTCCACTGAACCCTGACAGCCCCAAAGGAGCGCCGATCAGCTGGAAAGCGGCACTGATCCTGGCGCTTCCACTGAGCCCTGACAGCCTTGCAGCTCCAGCCGTCTCTTGCTCAGGCTTGTGCGGTGCTGCCACCAGTTCAGCTCATTCCCCTCCCCCGCTAACACTTTTCTAGGATGGTTGGTACCACCTGCTGGGTGCCAATGTACCACAGGTGGTACCCGTACCACTGGTTGAAAAGCCCTGCGTTAGAGTATAAATATGAAAGATGGTGGTTGTGTTGTCGTGTCATCATGTCATCGCTTTTTCAGTCATTGTAGACTACAGGAAAATTCTTGTTTGTAATTTTTGTATCCAGCCCTCATAATGGTATTTATATTCTCTCTCTTTATGTTTGGGTGTGTTTGGCTTAGATGAGTGTTTTGCTTGAAAGGACTTTCCCAAGCCACATTTTATACAGCCAAAGTAAAAATATTGGCTGCATGGGCTATATAGTTTTCAGCTACCTATCCGAGAAACCCCAATGTAAGCATACATAATTAAAGAGTTTTCTTCTTCTTTCAGGTTGTATGATTTTTGAGAATTGTAAGTCCTGTCGCAATGGGTCTTGGGGAGGATCACTAGACAACTTCTACATCAAAGGCATTTATTGTGCAGAATGCCGAGCAGGGTGGTATGGAGGCGATTGCATGAGTAAGTATTGGTCAGAGATGTACTTCACCATGCGTGTTCATGCTTTTGGCTGGGAAAGAAAAAAAAAAGTCTCCTTGTAGCTCATCCAGCAATGAGCTGCTAATGTCGAAGCAAAGACCAATTCCTAATCCTTTTCATGACCATTGACACTCAGTTTGAAAATGTAAGACAATATAACCAAAGACATTTTTTTTTAGAGGTCGGGAAATGATCTCATACTGAGCTTCTGGGGCTTTATAGGCCAAAGGTATTTCTCCAATTCCTTTCCCAGTGTCCTATTCTATTTCCCAGAGCTCTAAGGACTCCCAAATGTAGATGGTTATGGACAATGTTTTGTTTTCTATAACCCTTTGCTGCCATCTAATGGCTATCCAAATCTGCACAGCACAGATCTGGTATCCTGGGTTCTAGCCGGAGTGCAAAGTATTCTGCAGAACGCAGCCATTACCAGAAAGAAGGAGGGAGGGAGTTGAAGGAGGCTTTCTTGGCTATCCTACAGTTTGTAGGAGGCAGTTTATAGATCTCTGGTTGATCAGGAAAATGGAAAGTAGAGCACTGTCAGCAGATGAATGTTCTGCCACTCCTTGAAGACTACAGGTGAATAAAAGCTTCTATCGACAACCCACTTACAGGTAACTGTAACATTATTACAGTTATATACCATTATCCCTGATTTTTAATTTTTACTGCAATATTTTTCCTGATCGAAATAGGTCCTTATGCCTAATCTGAATATTTTTGGGTGGGGAGGGAGAGGTGCTTCCTTAGCAAAAGATAATTTTGTTGTTGTTGTTGTTCATATGTGGATAGAATCATATATATGATGGGCAATCAGCAGGAATAGTTAACTGAAGAAAATGTAAGGAGAATATTCATTGTTGGGTTTGTGGATAATATATATATATACCTTATATCTGCATTTGCATAAAATTAGACCTTGTGGACTGAATGACCAAAGAAAAATATGTTAGTTGAGGAGCACAATCCTTTGCCCATGTCAAGGCCTGGAAATCCTTCTCTTTCTGTTTATTCGCTGCCTTGATCGTCGTACCAAGGTCCATCCTGTAAGTGGCGCACATGAGATTTGCCAGTACAAATAAAAATATAACCAGATTCTTGGGGAGGGGGGAGAATAATTTCTTAAGATTGCTTGGTATAGATTAATGAGAAATCATTGCACATGCAAAGACTAGTAGGGACAATATGCAAAATTTCATCACTGCAGCATTTTAAATGTTCTGCCTTTGAATATGGATGCAATACTGAGAGAATGAAATTAGTTCTGATTTAAAAAACAAACAAACCTGCATTGAATTGTGAGTTTTGGAAATATGTTGATCTAAGAGTAGATTGAATATAAATACCTGTGATTCTTTCATTGCAAACCTATATTGTAAAACACATCATTTCTTTAAAAATATGGTTCCCTTTTCGCTACCAGGAAAGGCACTACAGGGATAGTCCCATACAGAATTGCCAAAAGGTATGCCATTGAATTAAGTGGACCTTAATCTCAGTTACATGTGAATAGAACTGTAAGTGCTAACTGTTATCAATTAAAATAGAGCAATGTAAATTAAACTTTACATTATATACAGACTAGATTTGATAAAGTAGCAATGAAGGTCTTGGAAAAGTTATCCAGATGTTGTGATGTGGCTATATCTAAAAAGATCAGAAACGGACAGGCAATGCTTTTCCCTGTGACACCTTATGGAAGCAAAAACTGAACTCTCCAGAAGCAAGACAGAAAGAGCACTAATGCTTTTGAAAATCAGCGTGGAAGAAGACTCATGAGAACCCCACGGATTGCCAAGAAAACAAAGAAATGGCTCATAGAACAAATCAATCCAGAGTCCTCACTCAGAGCACAAATGGCTAGGGTCAAATGATCAAATTATCATATGACCCTGCTCTCCTCAGAAGATGGAGAAGGAAAAGAAAAGATGAAGAACAGCAAGGTGGTAGAACATAAATAGAGCAGCTATGTGCACCATTGAAAGATTTGAATGGCCAGATTGGGAGTAGATCACCCTGAGGAAAATCAGTCAATTGCCTATAAATGCAGTACATTTATACAATCAATTATTTTCATTTACATATATCATTCTCCATCACAAACAGCCAATCATGTCACATAGAAGACAGATACATCCTTATATTCTCCTCACTTCTTCCAGAAAGGATGAAAATGAAGAAAGGACAAGAATAGGATAGAGCTGGATTAAGGAACAAGGTTAACGGAAGGAGAGAGAACTGGGCTAACCGCTATATGTAGATAGGTCTTATCAGTGCTTTTTTTCTTAAAAAAAAAAAAAAAAGGTGCCAGAACTCGCACATGTCATACAACCTGCCTTGCCTACTCTACAAGGTTCCATCCCAAAAAGGTGGTGGAACTCCGTTCTGGGCCTTCTATGAGAAAAAAAGCTCTGGGTCTTATTATGTTATTTTGTGAAAGCAGTATTTTCACATTTGAGGTTATTAATAATTCTTTCTGGGCTACTATCTCACTATAGCCATTTATTTTTAGTTTTTAGTAAAATGTTGAGAATTTCATCTTTGATCCCTAGAATAGCTTCAGTTTCTCAAGTGGCTTTCATGAAACCAATTTCAGGCACTGGTGATTGATTGGTTAGTTGTTATTGCCTCCTGTTTTTCTGTGATGATGTGTCTCTAACCAAGTCCTTCAGGTCTTGTAATGATGCACCCATTGCCACTACAATTGTCTCCATTAGGCACTGGCATCTATGCTGTAACTATTGCAATGAAGGCAGATACAATTAAACTCTTTAGTTTGTCAACCAGTAGTTCAGCTACAGCCCTAAATTTTGTTAGTTTTTTTTAACTGTATATATTATATACTATATATACCAGCTCCTGCCAGCCTAGCAGTTCGAAAGCATATACTGTAAGTGCAAGTAGATAAACAGGTACCACTTCGGCGGGAAGATGACAGTGTTCCGTGGTGTCACGCTGGCCGCCTTTGGACAGTTCTGGCTCAATGGCCTTGAAATTGAGATGAGCACTGCCCCCTAAAGTTGGCAACAACTAGCAGAGTAAAATCTGCAGGGACTCCATGACCTTTATATACTAGACCGCCTGGTGTTCCTGTTATAATTAGTCATAAAGTTACTGGTAACATGTTTCAGAATAAGCATAGGCCAGTGATGGCGAACCTTTTAGAGACTGAGTGCCCAAACTGCAACCCCAAACCCACTTATGCATCGTCAAGGGCCGGCTGGGTATGGCCCATTGGCTGGGTGTGGCCAATTGGGTGGGCGTGGCCCATTGGCTGGGCGTCGCTGCAGTGGTAACGGCAGACTGGGTGGAACTAAAAAGTTCAATCAATCAATTCCAACTTTGCAAGATCTTTTTTTTTCCTGCGAGAAGCTGAAATTGATTGATTGAACTTTTTTTTTTTTTGCACACGGCAGCGGAGGCCTAAAGTGTAAAGGTTTTATAAAACCCAGCTGAAGGCCTAGGACTGGGGCGACGCGCGCGTGCCCACAGAGAGGGCTCTGAGTGCCGCCTATGGTACCCGTGCCATAGGTTTGCCACACTGGCATAGGCAAATCAAGTTCTGCATCGTGTACGATTACTTAATATTTCTTTTGTGCCTTGTTCTTTTTGCTCTCTACTCAGGCAATTGAATTTTTTTGAAGAAGCCTCCCTCCCCCCCGATAGCCTCTGTGACAGTGCTCATAAATCATTCTGATGATCTCTTGGAATTGGTGACATGTACCTATGAAATACATTCTCACTGTATTTATGTAACTGCATTTTTGAGTAATCCAGAAGCATTCAAAAAAACTTTGATCCTCAACATTTTCTTTCCTTTTTACCAAGCTTCTTACTTAAAGTTACAGGTAGTCCTCAGCTATACAACCGTTCATTTAGTGACTGTTTGAAGTTACAATGGCACTGAAAAAAGTGACTTACATCCATTTTTCACACAACAGTTGCAGCATCCCATGGTCATGTGATCAAAATTCAGATGCTTGGCAACTGGCATGTACTTATGACAATTGCAATGTCCCAGGGTCATGTGATCACCTTTTGCCACCTTCTGACAAGCAAAGTCAATGGGGAAGCCAGATTCACTTAACAACTATGTACTAACTTAACAACTCCAGAGTTTCACTTAATCCCAGTGGCAAGAAACATTGTAAAATGAGACAAAACTCACTTAACGACTGTCTTGCTTAGCAGCATAAATTTTGGGCTTAATTGTGGTTGTAAGTCAAGGACTATCTTTATTGTCTGTTTTGAAGCAATTGTGTTCAACTTTCATTTTTCATATAGAAGTCAATTAAAATGATATTATTATTGCTAATTGGTTCAGCCCTATAAGTACCTCATACTAAACTCATATGCTTTTAAATGTCCAACTTACTTTTTTGTTTGGAATAAGCAACTTTCTGCGATGTGCAGAAAAAGAGCAAGTCAGCAAAACATCATAAAAGCAGGAGAAAAGAAAAAAGGAAATCTAATTAAACCTGGTCCATATAGTACAATTCACTATACTCTCCATATCTACCTTTGCAAATATTGTTGCTTCCCTCATGTCTGTACAGCAATTTTTACACTACCTTTTGTTCTTTAAACTCCCTAGTTTTCTCCATCCAGCATGCTTATTTTGGATTCAGTCTTCATTTTATATGACAGCCTTTTCAGTGAAGGTCTGGACTGGTCTCTCACTTTTGTATTCAATCCATATTTCTTAATCATCCATTTATACGGGACCATGTTTTACTGTAAAACCCTTTCCACTATATTCAGCTGACTTTAAAGTTTCACCTAACACACTCCACACTCACTTCATTTACAAGTACACTCTTACACATAGCAGCTTTTACTTCGTTCAGCTTTTATATCTTGCAACAGCCCACATACTGGTATTCCTCAAATTACAACCACAATTGGGACTGGAATTTTGGTCACCAAGTGATGCAGTCATTCAACAAGTCATGTGACTGAACCCAGTTTGATGACCATTTTAC